GTGTGTGTGTGTGTTTGTCACTCTCTCCGACCAACTCAGTCTTGCTCACACCTCCACCCTTTCCTGCCCGTCCTGCCCGCTTCATTCTCCCTCTTTCGCTCGGTCCCAGTCGCCTCGACGAGCCCACGACCGCGACCGCGACCACGACCACGACCACGACCACGGAATCCCGCTGCCCCCCAGCAACCCGCCCGCCACAGCCGCCCACCGCCTCCGAGTCTAAAGTGACCCTGTCTGGCGACACAGCGTGTCGCCGTCCACCGGACCTGCTCCGGCCGGCCGACCACTCGGCCCGCCTTGGCTGCCACGACAACCACGGCGGCCACAACGGCCACGACGACGACGACGCCGCGGCCACCACCACCACCACCACCACCACGAGCCCCGTCAATCCCGGCCCTCTCGAGCCCCACCGGCCGCCGCCCCTCAAGCGAGCCCGTCCCGAGCCCGCCTTAGTGGCTATGCCCTCCGCCCCTCTGCGCTCGCCCGGCAACTCTGCCTCCCCGTTGCCCCGGCAACACCGGCATCAAACGCAGCCTCAGCCGCTTCGAGCGTCGCCAAGCGAGTACTCGTGTCGACAGCCGGCCTTTTTCTCCTCGCCCCCCGCACACGCATCATTGCACTCCTTTCCTCCGGCCGGACAGTCACCCTCGGTCCAGCCACCAGATCTCGCCCTAACGACGACAGTTGCCGCGGCCAACTACGCCTCAGCAACAGCATCTTCATCCCCTTCAAGCGGCACGCACACTCTGTGCCGTGGCGGCCAGTCTGTCTTGGCCGAGTTGGACGTCAAGCCGCAGCTGACGACCAACGGCACCGGCGACCTGGCCTTCCGAGCCCGGGCGACTCCGTCTCCCTTGTCCCAGGCGCCTGGCAACCTGTTGCTATGCCACCAGGCGCGCATCGAGAACGGACTTTCAGGCTTTGTACTGGGACAAGAGGGGCAGATGGTGGGTAGCGGAGCGAGCGGCCGGCAGGAGATGATGGATCCCGAGTCTGGCGACGACCTGCTGTCGGGTCCGGGCGACTACGAGACCCGCCACGGCAACAACTCGGCTGCCGCGGGGGGCGCCGGAGGGGGCATGGCCGGTGGGGTAGGTGGAGGGGGCATGATTACCGGACTTCCGGTGGACGGCGCCTCCGGTGGAGGCCACTTGACCAGTCTGAATGAGGAGTCGATGATGGTGCTGTCACAGTCGATCGACTCCATTCACACGGTCGGTACCAACGGAGGCCTGGACGGAATGGAGGTAAGAAGGCCGAGTGGGCGTTTTTTTTCCCGAATTCTCTGGCCAATCAAAGCACGCCGTCTGGGGCCACTTTGCACCTCACTCGCCATTGGCTGCCCTCCACTTTTATAGCACACTTCCATTTCGAGTTATAAAGTCTGTATGTGTGTGTGTGTGCGTGTGCGTAATGTAGGCATTCAAAGGTGCGGGTTCCTCTTGGCCAACTGAAGCATTGTTCGAGGCAGTCTGGTTCAGTTCTGATGGAAACGTGTCTTTTCCTCTTTTTGGGAAGCGGCGCAATGTGAACTTGGATGGATACGAAGAAAAGTTGGGTTTCGAGGAATCTCTTGTTTCATGATTGTTGGGATTACTTCCATTTCGAGTAGAAGTGTTGGGTGAAGAGATTCGAAGGTCGATTGTACCAGAAGACGACGGCGA